ATATTACCACTTTAATTTATCTGATAAACATTGCAATTCTATTAAAAAATGCTGTTTCAATGGTTCGGATGATGTCAGTTTATTTATGTCATACAATGGTAATGACTCAAGAATAAAAAGTTCACTTAGTGATATAATTTTTTCTAAGTCAACATAATCATGTCTCTTTTCATAATCATCTGGACGTTCTTCACTAACTAAATAAGCATAAAAATTATTATGATTAGGAACAATTGAGTAATAATCGATAATAATAAATCGTTTTATGAATTAAATGCGACATACGAATTTCATAATCATGTTGAGCTTTAATTTCACGAGTTATTCGTACAAATGTTGATGGTATACTTGCTGATGCCAATGTTTTAATAATATTTTTTTCAGTACGAGTAGTAACACAGTCGTGTAAAAACGGATCAATTAAAAGTTTTTTTACAGATGGTATCCAAATGTTTTCCAATTCTTTTTCCATAGTTTTAATTAAACACCCAGCTTTATTACCAATTAAAAATTGACTAGGCATATAAAAATCAGCCTCTTCTTCTAAATCATAAACTGGAATAATTGAATTTGTATTCTTAACAAAATACAAATATCTGAGATCGGCATTAAGATTTCCAACCATACAACCAAAATGAACATGAAGTTCTGGTAAAGTAATTATTTTTTCTTGAATCACCTAAATGAAACAATATATAGGTAATTACTAATTATTAATACTTATATACAAACTAGGTGATTAATTTATCGAATAACGCTCATTATTTCACTCTATTAACATTTTTGATAAAAATTATATATTTTTATAGTTATAATTTTTCAAATTTCTTACTTTTTTGAATGATAACATAGGTACATTTTTAATTTAATACTTTGAAGCTGAATATTTTAATCCAGTATTTTGATACATCAAATTTAAAATTCGGATGAATAATTTTTGAGTTACAATTATTTAAAGTTGAGGAAAACGGAGTAGTAGATCAACATTTTACGAAGTATTTCTGTACTTCCTTTCACCAAAACTTTGACTTATTATTAGCAATAAATAACAAAAATTAAACGCATAGAAATTAAAAATCGGATAAATAGCTTATGAGTTATAACTTACAAGAGTATATTCAAAGTTTAGGTTAACCGTACGGGGATACCCCACAAAATGTTGATTTACTATTCAGTTTATCTAAAAACTAAAAACACTTGTAACTTATAAACTAATTTTAATTTTTACATATCGAAATACTGTATAAAAATATTCTGCTTCAGGGTATGAAATTAAAAATATATGTTGTCATTCAAAAAAAGTAAAAAAACTTAAATTATAACGATAAAAATATAAAAAAATGTTATTTTATTTTGATAAGAAATTTGTAAAAATATATTTTCAAAAACTATAATATATTTTGAAATAATGAGTGTTGTTCAATAAAAACATTATCTTATTTATTAAACATAAAATAAAAACACAATCGTCACTAGTCTAGAATATAACTGTGTTTGAAGAATAAAAATTTTTGTTTTTAACAAATTAATCAGTTTCAGGAATTTTTATTGATAAACTATGTGTAAGAAAAATTATTTAAATATTTTAAATTATACAATAAACAATAAGTTAAAATGTAGGTATACTAAATAAAATAAATATGGTTTCCGTGTTTATTAAAATGTAAATACTGTTGCGAATTGCGGTAAATACCTAGGTATGTATATTTTTAGATACCTATACTTACTTTTACTCTTTTAAATAGTTTTTCGGAATATTTTTTTACTCCATCTTCGTCGGCCATTTGTATAGCTAAAAATTAAGCATAAAATGTATCAATCAAGTTAATAATTTTATCATTTAAAAACTAGTAGATACCTAATGTTTTAATATAAATACCTATTTTTATTTTTAACTGAAAGTTATGTTTTAAAGATTAACTTTAATCTAAAATTTGTACAATCTTAAACATGAAATAATAAATACTTACCTACATAATTAAACATTTTAAAGATTTTATTTAAAACTCAAATTGTCTAGGGAATAATTGGATAGGCGTTATTGTACGTATAAATAGGTACTTAGAGAATTCTGAGACTATATACTATTTGTCTACTACTAGATAAATTATTTATGTAATATCAAATTGAACAATAAACAACATACTTAATCATTTTACAATTCTAATTTACATGATAAAAACTCAATTAATAATGTTTACAAAAACGCATGTATACCATGATCATATAGTTTAGTACACTTTTTTATATAGAATTTTTTATGGGTGATATAATTTGAAGAAAAATAAAAGTACCAGTATCTGGGCTGGAATAACCATCTCTAGATTTTCCGTCATCTGATTCATTGTCAGTGTCTGTGGCTGGCGAGTCACCGCTGGTTAATGTGTCTTCTCTGTGAATGTATTTTTTCTTTTTCTTCTTATCTTGATGGTGTTTTTTTTTTTTTTTTTTACTATCAGACTCTCTCAGTGATTGAATTTCAAGCTCAGACACTATAAAATATTAATAAAAATAAAACAATCTAACAGTTTTCAATAGAAATAACTTATTGATATTTTTCATCAATTATAATGCTAACAATACAACACGAAAATTAATTATTGATGTAGGTAATATTAAAAAAAAAAAAGTTAAAATACAAGAAAATGAAGAAACACTAATTTGATAATTTAAGTATTTAACTTATGAACCTTATACCAAATTTAAATATCAGATTGTACTCTAAATTATTATTCTTTACCTACTTATTGTATAAAAACTTTTCGAAATTTTGTTTATGCTGAATAAATTCTTACTATAACTTTTTTTCTAAATATACTAAATTTGTATGAATTACAGTTTATAATCTATTATTATTATTTAAACAAAACCAATAGTGATAATTCAAATTAAATACTTACGTTCTTCTTCAACTTCAATTTCTTCTTTAATAACCTTTTTTACCGTAGTTGTGTAGATGTAAAATATATTTGTGTTTGTATTTCTGTTGACAGTCGAAGATTCAAGGTACTGGATGAACTGCTGTCTTAACAATCCTTCATCTTTATTTAAAGTATCTCCAAATAGTTTAACTGCCTCTTTTTCAGTTCCAATTTCAAATACGTTATTTATGCATTTTACAAACCACAATAATCTAAAGTCCATTATTCCAAAATATAATTTTAAAAAACTACTGCAGTTTTATCCACAAATTAATTTATTAATTCATTTTGATATGAGATATTCCATTTTTAAGACTCCATTTTAAATTTAATTTGTTATTGTCTTATTTGTGCTTATACTTTATAACATGATAATTCTTAATTTCCTAAACAAGAATATTTTCAATAATTTTATAATTTTTAGTGAAATATATTTTAATAAGTAATTCATTTCTAGAAACTACAAGCATGTGCTATTTAAAGTAAACATTTGAACTAAAGTTGAAATAAAAAATAATTAAAATATATTGATATTTTGATAGCTACTTTGGCATAACACAATGTAAATACGGACTCTTGTATGCACTTATGCACTTGTACTTATTTACTACCTATTACTTAAATAGACTAGGTATCTATGAAAAATAAATCGATAATTTGTAGAAAGCATGTAGTTAGCAATAGGTAGTTATTTTTTTTATTCATGCATCGTCTGTTGCAGATAAACAATTTAAGTAGCTTGGCAACAAAACGAAAATAATATTGGTCCGTAACTACGACAAATCGACTGCTCTAGCTCCGTTGATGTATAAGTTATTTTTTCCATGCAATTTTATACCAAATAATAGACATATCTACTATTACCATTTTAAATAAATAATAATATAATGCCTATCGATCTATTCAGTACTAACAGTACTTCACCATAAGCAATTGGTAAGAATATTTTTATCCTGTAAGTCTATGCAGCATATAGAGATTATTTGATGAAAACTTATTTAAATTAACCCTATAAGTTATAACTGAATGATAATTCAACCAACAATATTTTCTGAAAAATGAACAGTGTTAGAATCCATTAGGAAAAATAGTTTTCTGAATTGAAATTATAATAAAGTTTTAAAATAATCATAAAAAGAATTTAAAAAACATATTTTTGTTCTTATTGATTATCCATTTTATAAAAAAACATGCCCACAAGACAGGGTATTGTATACACTGTACACTTGACATTTTGGTTATTATTATTTATTTATTAAGTACTAAGCAGTAGGTATCAAAATTATATATCTACCTACCTATATGATAAACCTATATTTTATTAATACCATTACAATGCATCTCTTTAAATTTATTTATGTCTAGAGACATTGTAACCTTGTTATGATAGATAAATTTCTACAAAAAAAATAGGTATACTGTTTATATATATATATATATATATTATTTTAAGTCTAGAATTTATGTTGACAATATAAATGCATTAAGTGTCAAAGTTTACATATTTAACATGATGCTATATTATTAAAATATTGTACTAAAGTATAATATAATAATATATAATGCTATATATTGTAATATAAATATTCTGTATGATATTGTATCATTAGGTTTAATATTTGTACGTTTTATTTTTGTCAAAACACAAAACACAAAATTATAAAATACTGTTATAAATTATAATAAAAAAATCATAACTGACAAATATGCAAAGAAATAAAAATTAATAAAAAAAAAAGAAAAACAAATTTTATCAAAATATTGAAATTTATAACAATTATATCTCATAAAATTTTCAAATACTATACATACCTTCAGCTATATGTAGTTGGTATCTATTTGATTTTTATGCACCTATAATCCATATCCATAAAGTACAACGGCTAACTAGTGCCACCTATTATTATTATTTGAATATTTATACATACTTTGTTCAATCCAAAATAATAAGAATCAGAAAACTATTATGTTTAAAACACAAAGGGACAATATGAAACTAAAAAAATTTATAGTGTTGAACAATAAAATAAATAATTATTAATTAAAGTCAATTATTTTTATTATAAATTGTTTTATTGTTCAATTACTACTTCAATAAATAATGATATAAGTAAGCTTTACAAATAAATAATAATAAATTGTAATCACAATGTTTTCTTATTTAGTAGTTGGGCTTTCATTAGGGCCAATTCATTGGCATTCTGTTCAACAAGCTGCTCAAGTCCTCGGACCCTCTGTAATATCAATTCACACATGTCATGACATGCGGTTGGATTTTGAGCTCTGATAGTTAACTCAGCCAATTGGCTATTTAAGTGTGTTTGATGATGAAGTAGAACTGTCATCTATAATCAAACCAAAATAATAAAGTTAATAATTAAAATTTTAGGATAAATATTAATAAGAATGTCAGAATGTTAGACAAACTAATGCATATTTGATATTTAAATGAGTATAATTATAATTGTTATAGGTGACTAATTATATATAACAAAGTTTCAATAAAAAATTTAAATAAAATTGTTATAGGCAAGCAGTTAAAAATGCAAAATATTTATTTGTTTAGGAATTTTGTAGTTAATTTTCTTCTACAAAATAAAAATAAATAACATTTACCTGTCGAACAATTATTGCTAGTTTGTCTACATCAGAGTTTGAATCCAACAGATCAGCCACATGTTGAACTTCTGCTCCCAAACAACTTTGCAATTCATGGTGTACTTCATCATCGGTAAGCTTATTTAAATAAACACGGAGGGCGAGTCTTAAAATTTTACACTGAAGTGCACACCTCTATTAACACAGTTAAAAATTATTCATAAATAAAATTTCTACATTTTTATATCATTAATAAAATGGAGTATTAAAATTATAACAACAAACATAATAATGTATAACTCATATATTTTGAAAACAGACAATTAAAAATTTAATAATTTGTATACCTAACTTTACTAGTTTAAGTTAGGTAGCTATACATAAATTTAACAAAATATTCATTTCAATTTTTATTTATTGTTGGTGCAAACATTTTCACTGACCACTATCATAGGTACTTTTTTCATGCAAAAGTTAGGAGGGGACATATCTCCTTTGTCTTCTTCTTTTTTTACCTCAACTGCCAATCATTATCCTACGCCTACATAGTGCTCTATCCTCCACCCCTCCTTAATTAATAGCAGCTATTTTCATGCCATTCACTATATTATCTAATATAATCTTTTGTTTTATCTCCCACTCCCTTTCTCCCTCACTGCCACACAATAGCCTCTCCTTATAACTAGATATATCCTCACTCTATATAATTTTAGAAACTGTATTGTGTAATTTTTTAAGATAATGTCTCTCATATTAATATGAAAATATCATCATTGTTATTAATTTTATTTAATTATGTGTACTTTTAATGTATTTATATTTATTTCATCATTACTAATAGTATTAAATTTATGAGTATGAGCATCTTAATAACAAAATATCTAACCTAACTTAATCTAAAAAGTTGTTTGCAATGCATTAGAAATAAAACATGCAATTTATTCCATGGGCAACCTTATTTATAACAGCACAATATACAGTCCACTTAATTCATATTTCTAAATTGTTTCATTGATATTTTATTTTAACTTATTCAATTTAATAATAAACTACAGAGTTATAAAAATAAAAATATTTATGATTATAAAACAATATCATGACTTAATATCTAATTTAAAACACTTGAGCACCTATATCAGCGCTTATATTTTATTTTTGGTAGACCAGAGATGTCTTAAAAAAATTTGATGTAAATGCATCCCCTGTACTCCCCTAAATAACACTATTGAACTTTTGTACAGTATCAAAAAATTAAGTACATAAATAAAATGTACATATTAAAGAACTCTTAGATTGATAAATAGGTACTAAAAATGAATGCATAATAGATTTAAAAATAAACTATTGAAAATATTTTTATAATCAGTAAGAAATGAAATTATATTTGATTGTCATTTTATCCAAATTATATTATTAACTTACCTGTTCTGCAGAGAGGGACATAAATTGATCTTGAGGCACAATATTGAATGGACAACCTAATACCTATAAAAATAAATAATGATGAAGAAAAATTAACAATAGTATATTCTTAAAAATATTATTAGTATTTTGTTTTAAATTTAAACAATCAAATTCTTTAAATATTTAATCTTTAATTAAAATTGGGTGTTAAAATATTGCTTATTAAGCAATATTCAAAAAAATTCTATAAAGGGTTATAAAAATAATCAATTTTTTTTAAAAAATTAATTTTTTTCCATAAAAGTTTATAATATATACCTACTATATCTTAAGTTTAAGGATTTCATCATCACTAATTTAAATAAAATAATGATTTTGAAAGAACATTGAAATACTTTGATCTATTAAATAAAAATTGAATAAATAAGAATTTTTGTTAGACCTTTCTTTATATAATTTGAAATTTATTGTACATACATAAACACAAAATCAAAATATTTCAGTGTATTTATAGGTCATGTAATTAAAAAAAATAGTCATACTAGTTAGGTACTTATTATTTTTATTACATAACATAATTAACTATAAACAATAAATATTTAATTAATAAGCTAATATTAACTTACATTTAATCTCAATCTCAGATTACATAAATCTTCATATTGCCTAAATAAGTTCTGAAAAAATAAAAATCACTGTATAGAATAAATAAATTATAACAAATAAATAAAAGGTATATTTGTTTTTTTATAGTAATTTGTGACCTACTAACTAATATTAGATTTTTTTCAATAATTAAGACTGGTAAAAGTATTATCCCTCACACTAAGATACATAATACTATACTACAATAAACGATGGCAGCGAAGGAGTAATATTGTTTACAAAGATCCTCCTTTGCTGTCGGTTATCCAAGGAATAAAATATGTATAATACTTTATAAATTTATCATTTGAATACATGAGTAAAAAAATAAAATACAGCTAAAAATAAATTTTTGTGTTAATTTTATTGAAGATACATGTAGTCAATTAAATAAAATATCATTTAAACTTAGATTTTCTATCAATTTTTGAATAATGTAGTAATTCATACCTGCACTTTTTATTTTGTTAACTAATTTAACTATACAAAAAAACCTTAAAAATTAATAACTTCTATTAGAGTTCTATCATTGGATGGCCTCCTTTTTTTATTATTTTTTCGGCCAATTACTTTTATATGTCTTATTTTTTCTTTGTATATTATATATACTTTTATCAAATTTGCTTAATGAACATTTATGTTTCAGCATATGCTGTAATTAATCACTTAAAAAAAAAAAAAAAAGGTTACTGGTTTTTCTATTTACCTTATTAATTCTACAAGTAAAAAAAGAAAATTAACTTTTAACTTAAACCTTAACCAACATTTTTCCATTTTAACTTAAATTATTCAGCAATAGCACAACCAAAGTGACACTAAGGAATGCATTACTACCTCCAACTTTAATTTAAAAATTCAAAGTTCCAAGTATTTATAATTTTAAATATCTATTTAGTTTTGATAAATATAATTTAATGTTTAAGAATTTATTATCAGTTTACATTGTTTCTTTAATTTGCATTTCAATTTTTTTATATTAGTATAAATTCTATTATGCTGCAAAATCTATCTCGGGAGTTTAGTAAAACTTTTTAAAAAAAAATTGACTTGCCCAACCATTTGAATATCAACAAATCTTTACAAATATTATGTGAATAATGAGAAGAATCTTGAATGTAAATAACAAGAAATTTTGAATCACTAACTTTAAACCATAAATATATGTATAAGTGTGTATAACCTTTATAGTTTATGTAATCTTCCCTCTAACAATGGTTATTAATACTAACTCCCTTCAGAGCATATGCAATTTTAGTACTTTTTAACTTATCTGGGCATCACTAAATATGATCAAGTTAAAATAGAAATGGATAAAGTTAATTGACATCATTAAAATTAACTAACAAAATACATACTTGATATTAAAAATTACATGACAAAAAGGAACATAAAGAATTTTAGTTTTTAATTAAAATGGAGATCATTTTAAAATATTCTAAAATATGTATAATGTTTGTACATTCTTTTTATTAATAAATATGATTCTCTGTCCTCTCTTCAATTAACCAGAAAAAATATGTTTTTAACTTACATAGACTATAACTGGAGTGTTAATTTTTTTTTAGTTTTGATTTCAAAGTATTAAGATGTGACTTGAAAAATTACTGATATAGACTTATGCATTAGTCAGAAAACTATTTTTTTAATTTTTTACAACCTTTTACTGGTCATTATTTAATTTTTTGAACAAAATCTTGTAGCTAGTACATTAAAAGAATGCTCATGGCATCAGTTTTAAAATGACTGCACTAATCCTAGTACACAGTCTAATCACCTAATTATCCAGGTACATTATAGGACCCCAATATTTTTATTTACATTGACATCAAGTTTAACAAACGTATACCTTTGCAAGCCCAATTATAAATCATTGTACTCACAGACCAAACATATATTAAATTTAAAGTGTTTATGTATATTATCTAGTATAATACTCAAAATTAATTTGAGATATAATAACTTACTTTAGAAGAAACATCTTCATTTGCTGTTAATTCATTTTCATTTAAGGATATTAAATTGATTTGTGCACATGATGTATCAGCACTATCAGATGCTGCACCTGAATCAACTTCTGAACTCGCTTTACTAACATCCTGACAAGGCTCGACTATAGATAATAAATCTTCTAAATCTCTTTCGGGACTATAATCTTTATCAAAAGGTTGATTTGAATTAAATATAGGACTTAATTTATCCATTTTTATATCATTATTATGTATATCAATTGACAAGCTATTTTCTTGTTGAAACTGTGTATCCGAATTTGCTGATGATGATGAATCAACTTTAAATATCACATTAGTATCTTCATCTAAGTGTGGAGAACTCTCTTGAACAACAGTTTGAGCTTGTTCGTTAATTACTTTTGTGTCAAACGGTACTGGTAAACTGAAATTTATAAATCAAATTACAATTATATTAATCTTTGAATAGTTTGAATACACATTAATAAGTGACATGTATTCAAATAATTGAGAAATTAGTTTTAAAAACATTGACAAACTTTTCACTATCAGCAGTAATACTAGATGGCGGTGTCTCTATTAAAGTACCATCACGAGTTAACACAAATGATTGCTGACCAATTATTAGTCGTCTTGACATTTCTGGAGACTTGTCACCACCTTGACTGTCAAGCCATTTACGATTGTCTGGAGTTAATACACTACCAGGTGTACACCTATAAAATATAATAAAATATTCAAACATAAATAATTACAGTAATAAATATGTTACATATTTGATTATTTTAATTGTAAGGCATGTTAAAATATTTATCTTATCTATAATTTTGTAATTATTTATTATTTAAAGACAGTTACCTAATGTTTATGTAAGTTCATTTTATCATTTTTTTTTACAATTATTTTATTACTTAACCATATTTCATATTTGTAATAACTACTAACAAGAAAATTATGAAGAAATAAATTTTAAATTTACATACCACTGTTATCAGTGAGTTATAATATATTAGCAAAAAAAATATGAAACTATTTTTAATTCAGATAATACAGAATGCAGGATACAATTTTTACTACTGTATTATACATTTATGCATCATAATTAAAATTATTTAGGTTTAAATTTAAAATTAACACTATTAATTATTTTAATATGTTTAGTTACATGTCAATAAAAATAATAATAAATACCATTCAAATATAAAAATAGTAAGATTGATTATTTCTCATCAAACATTTTAGACACATTATACAAATCTTCTGTATCATAATTAAGTAAAGTAATAAAATATTATGTTAATTATTCACTTCTAAAATGATCATGGATATTTTTCTTAAAGATCGTTTCACTATTGAATTACTATTTAAAGATTATTAAATGTCTAAGATAGAAGAAATTTTGAAAGGTTTGTTAATACCTAATTTTAGTAAGAATATTTTCAGCAGCTTTATTAAATCGATTTGAGGTTTGTTTTGCACTTGATTTTGTTAAATGCATAGATTTAGTTGTTGGAACCATGACACTTGAAGAACCTTTTGGGCACGTCATATCGCGTTCGTGTTCTCGAAGTTTTTCCATGATTTTTGCAACTATTACTGATGGGCTCGCATGTGGTGGCCCTATAAAATATTTATGAATTAGAATTATACATTTAATAACAAATTAAATTAACACACAATATTAATGCAATAAGCCTGCTACAAAAAATATTGATTTCAATAATTTGCTTTGTTTTTTTTTTTTTTTTTTTTTAAATACTAAAAACGTAACATTTTGTAAATAAGTAAATTATAGTAAAATTGAAAAAAAGTTATAAATGTTGGTATAAAATAAATAAATAAATTGTACTTTAATATTTTTAATTTACATACTATTAATTATCAATGAAAAAAAATAATTATAAATGCTTTGTATAAAATGTGATAATTAAGCTTTTCTAACTAGATATTAGCACAAGGTGAAGCTTAATATTCAGTGAATGTCTATAGCTAAAACAAACTTATTATATGATCTAATACAGTCATTAAATGAGAACAAATACATTTTAATAAATGTGCATTTAATTCTTAATTGTTTGCAATAACAATACTATACTAGTTATGAACCATAAAAAGTATTTTAAATATGATACTTAACAATACATAATATGAAAGAAAATGATTTAAAATAAATTTATTTTAGTAAATTAAAAAATTAATATGGTCAAAGTATAAATATAACTTTACTACTTAGTGATTTCCTTAAAAGACTAGTACTAGGTTGCATGAAAAATTGATTAAATTATGATTCAATAAAATGTAATAGATCAATCACCGACCACTAATTTGTGTTTTAAAAACCATTACTTTATTATTAATTTATTAAATATTTAAAAATTTTTTATGCAATCTGCCAAAGACCATTTTTATTGACACTAGTAACTTAACAATTAATAATACACAAAGATTTAATAAATAACTTTTAATGAGTTAATTAAAAATGTATATTAAATAATTAATTGAAAATAACGAATTACTCAGTAATTAGTACATTAACATTAGTTAACATTTTTAACATAATTAACAATAACAAAATCCTTAAACATCAATCGATTTTATTAATTTATTTTATTGTTTAATATTTTTTCAACTGTAATAAAAAACTTAAAATATTTTTACAGTATTTTAGTAAAATGATTATAATTTAACAACTAAAATAACTTCATAAAATATTTTAAATTTATTAAAATTATTCCAGATATGCCATTTAGGGGTGGAAGGGAGTAAGGACACTCTGACATCTTTATTTTTTTTTACGCCTTATTAACATTTCTTACAAATATACAATTTACAAATGGGTGCTGATGGCCAACGTATAAATCATGATGTTCAAAATATTATGTATACTAAGATATATATTATTAGTATATATGACAAAAGCCATTTCAAACTTTCTAATTATTTTAATTTATTAAAATATTAATTATATTACTCTTTAACCCCTATACATGTACAATACATACATAAAATAAATGTATGTATTACATAAGATATGTATATCTTATGAAAAAATAGTAACTTAATAATGAAAGAAATTTGCCTGTTTAAATTTTAGCCCCATTAATAAAAAAATTAAATTATGTCAATGTATTATTATAAACAATTTATAATTCGTGGAAAGAATAAAAATAAAAATTGTATTTGAAAAATATTTAAAATACTTAGTAAATTTGATATATCAAAAATGTATTTCATCAATAAAATTAAAAGTTAAGTTTATAATATATTCAATGCTACTTCTAAAGTTATAACATGCAATAAAATAATAAATAAAAATCTATACAGCAACAAAACAATCAACAAATTTGGCACAACAGCTGTAAAATGAACTTACATAATATAATTGTTTACTGAAACACCTGTAGATTGATGTTCCATCAATGTACCTGAATGAAAAGATCTTCCTTCATTAATTTTTATTAATGAATAAAAATGTAAATGGATTTTTAACTAAGAACTTTATAAAATACCAATATAAAATGTAATAAACTATAAAATAAACCTACCAGTTAATCCACGGTAACCCCATAATCCAGATTCATACATATAAATGAGTTCTTGTTGGTATTTTAAGTACTCTTCCACAGAAACCCCCTTTAGTTGAGATGGCTGTAAAAACCGCTTGGGAACACGTCCATACTCTCCATATGTAGTTGATTCAATTCCGCCACCAAATCCTAAGCCTAGTAATATTTCTTCAGGATCTGGTTTACGATCATTTAATATTTTGGAATCAAAACTAGAAGTTTGGCTTTCAGTTTCTGATGGTGCACGTACAATATTACTTTAAAAGAAAAGTGAATAAAAAAGAAAGATTACATATGTTTAAAAATACCTTAACTAATAAATCCACCACTTTAATTTTTGTATATCCCCGTTCATAATCATAATTATTACTATACTATATCATTATAATGATTATATTAAAACTATTAGTATTATTATTAACTATTAATTATATAGTATAGGTGTTTCAGGTGTTTATAAAGTTAATAATTAATTATGCAATTTTTATATACCTATTATTTAATAAATTAAATAATATAAATTGTAAATCAAATATTATGATTCATTATTTATGAGTACATACTAATTTATTTTTCAAACATTTAGATAATGTAGATTAAATTTCAAATATTACATGTCATGTGGTCTATTTAAATTTAGCTTCAAAGTTAAAAATTCCAAACAAAAATAAAAAATTTTGAATTTTAAAGCTTTATACCTAAAATCTATATATATATACCTACGGATAATGTTATAGTATTATTTGAAATGAGATTTTGATAAATTCAACATATTATAATTAACATAAAATAAATGAATATTACCTTTCAGTTGTTACAGTGACACTTGGAATAGTTCCAACTCTAGATAAGTGTCCAGCTACAAATAAAATTAAAAAAATTTGAAAACTAATATTTTATAAAAATAAAATATATGTTTAACATATTTTGCATCATTAAAAATTAGTTGTTTAATTAATTATTTATATCCAATTTTTTGAACATATCATAAAGTGTAAACAATACATTTTTAAATAACATGTTATTATTAAATAGTTAAATTTTTATCAATATAAATAAAAATTAAATACTTAAAATATTACCTTCTGCTCCTAATGTAAGATTATCAACATCCGAACTATTTAAAAGTGTAGAAGATTCTACATTATCAAAATCTTCTCTAAAAATAATTAGAATGTAACAAATCAATTGAATTGATCAAATGCATTTTAAAATAAATAATTACTTTTGATCAACAGATGTGGTTAATGAATCTACCCATTCTTGTATAGTAACAGGACTCCTATTTCGAGGAATAGCAGAAGGTGGTTTTTTTAGTTGACCTTCATTAGTTTCTTGAATAATTTGTTCATTGATTACATATTTATCTCCCAAACTTTCTACCATTACATCAGGAACTTTTTCATTATTTTGGGCCATTTTAATTGTATTTTCATCATTTGATACACTTTGTAAATCTGCCAAAAAAATTTTAAAAAAACAGTTAGGACTTCTAACTATTATTAGGTACACCTATTACATATTGTGCTCAATAGTACCTAACAATACATAATTACAGTTTTAAATAAACAAATCAAAATTGTATCCATCACTTACTGAATTCATCAAAAATAAAATGAAATAAATATATCTAAACCTATAAATATTATAAAAGGGTTTTTTTAATGTTTAACTTATGCAACCAAAATTTTTGACAAAAAATGTTAAAAAAATCAATCAATTAATAATTATTTACTTATAAAACACTACAATTATCTATCAATGAATCCGATCAATTATATAGTTTTTTCGCTCAGAATTATCATACATAAAATACATGCCTAACCTATATTATAAAATATATTAATATTAAATACTAATAAGTAATGATTTGTGATTAATTTTTGCACAAAACTGAAGAAACTAAATTGTATTATTTAGATAGTGATTAATGATTATAGCTTACCAAAAATATTAAAATATATTATTAAGAAAAAGTAAATTATTTAGTTCAGTTTTCATATTTTTTTTATAAATTAACAAATGTATTTATATTAAATTAATTATTCACATAAATTAACTAGGTATATTACGGCAAGATTATTGACTAAAAATTACACACGAAAAAATAATTACAATTAAATAAAGTCAAAACAACTATTAACAATTACAATTTAACAATAATTATATTATTTGTATTTATAATCGCATTTATCATGGATTTAAGTATGTGATAAGGTCATACAATCTAGCATTGATAGTATCGTATTGCTTATCAATAGACAATAAGTCTCCTCTCACTTTACAACAGCATTCCTCAGTCCTCATCATCAATGATTTAAGATAATTATCTTTAAATCGTGTCATCAGCTGACATTCGACATTCTCATGAGCCATTATGCAATACTTCGAGTTTGAACTAGCATATTTTTTATATTAAACTTAAAAAATGGATAATCTTTCAAATTTGTTATCTTGTGAATAAAATCAATAAAACTGTCAATGAGTCTAGGTGAACGTTATGACTTTTTTTTTGAAAATAATAACATCCGAATTGGTTCTAAATTCTACTCGTTATACAATTATATTTAAAAATCATTGGTAGATAATTGGTCGTTTATGGATGTGGCGTGGAGGGGGAAACTTTAAGTTTTTGTCCATTATTAAAATTAGACAGGATCCATTCTTCGAATTACTGGCTAAATTGTCCTTCACAGCATTTATAAGTATACAAATTTAAATAAAGTAAATACATGAATAATAAAATTATAACAATATGTTTAGTTTAACTTTTTTTAAATTATTATACGTATTAGAAATGGACTATTTTGACAAAAAAAATAAAAACATTCCGTGGCCTGGGAAACCTAGCCTCCAGTAAAATTTATTTTTGAAAATTCTGACTCTAATTCACAAAATTAAATAATTAAATATTTCCTTAGTATTGTTAGTTGATATTTGTAAACGTTTTTGTAAGTACTAAGTATTAAAGGTACTAACTTACCGCTTGCATAGACGATAGACACATACTATATAGTAACATTCTATATAATAATATTATTATTTTAGATTTACGTTTATGCAATTTACAGGTACCTATAATTTACAGGCTTATGATGATTGATAAAAACTATAGACGCAATTTGAGATGTGCTTAGCAACCCACAATTTTTTTATATTATCAATAAATTTGTATTGGCTACTTGCCTACTTATATTATTAAATCATAGACATTCGAATAGTTTTATTTTTTGGATTTTATTCGTGTTTTATTAAAAATAAAAAATATTTGGTTGTAATAACTAATAAGAAATTATATATTATTAGCAATATTAACAACTGACAAAGGCTTTACAGTACGATAAGTTGATAACAAATATTTTATTATAAATGTAAAATAATTATAATTTATAATATTTTATCAATAATGAATTAATTGGTGGAGATGGAGGGTACAATGGAGGACAAATAAATTTAACACCCCTATACATTTAACGCACAGTCTCATTTGAAATAACCTGATAAATTGGAGACATCAGTGTTGAAGAAATGAGATAATAATATAAAATATATATATTATAATATTTATTAGTGAAAAACTTTTCCTAATTTATTATCACTTATGTTTAACATACATATTATTACCATTAAGTGTGTAGGTAAAATAGTAAGATTAAAATTTACTACACATAAATGATCATTATTCATTATTCACTTTGTTAAAAAAAAATTTTGAATTGTATGTATTTATTAGTAGTGTTTTGTGTTAATATGTTATTTAGCGGTCGAATAGGATTTTAAAAAAAAAATAATTATCTCCATATTTTAATTATACCACAGATTAAATAATTAATTTAATTTAATTAAAATAAAATTTAAATTTAAATTGATTTTACTTAATCTGTGATTATACAATTGGAATTATATGTAATTCATTTTTATTCTATAAATAACCTGTAAATAATTTAGTGTTAACAGAATGACAATAAAAAAAAAAATAAAGAAGACAATTATTGCCTATTTGTATTATTATTATTTATTTTAACCTAAATACCCATACAAACATACAGTAAATAATTAAAATATAAGTCATTAATTATAATTAGAGTTAAAAGGACTTCATACTTTAAAAATCATTAAAATATGCATGCATTTATTCCCTTAAAAATTATCATATATACTTTAAAATCATGTAAAAATGTTAATATATGCTCTTAAAAACATTTTAATTTTCATTAAAAAAACTGAAAATAAAATATTTATAAATAGTAGTGTAAAAAGAGGGGTTCTGAAGTCATCACCACGTCACAGGCATGGAGAGGTGGGTGGTGGTTGTGTGTAGTAGTGGTAGCTTCAGAATCCCCCTTTTTACACTACCATAAATTATTAAATTAAGTATTTTTAATTTAATTTTCACAATTTAAAACTGTACCTAGTCTAGAATATTAAACTAACTATAATAACGCAAGACGAAAATAGTTAAAATACCACTAACAGACAAATTGACATTAAACGACCGTAATCTACGTATTCTTTATCGACCGATTTTATGTTTTTTAAAACACAACAATTGGGAAGTAAATAGATTATTTATAATTTATAATATTAATCATTTTAATATATTTTTTCCAATTTCTAGAAAATGCATATTAAAATATATTGTAGGAAATTATAGTACCTATATATAAAATAATATTTTCTATCTTACACATTGTTTTAAATTGTTTACATATAAATCATCATTATTCATGATGAATTTTGTTAAAATAAAAATTTGAATTGTGTGCATTTTAATTGTAGTGTTTAAAATACTAAAATACAAAAAGTTATGAAATATTTACAAAATAATTATTTATAAGTCAATTTTAAAACCGATTTGGTTATATACGATTTAAATTTAAGAATGTGCCAAATCATCACAATTAAAAACAATCGATTTCCTTCCATATAATCGCATCCGAGTGTCCTACTTCTTTGGTATGTTTCATATCACACTTAAAGACTTAAACATTGAATGAGTTAAAAATTTAATTAAAACTTACTCTAAAAAGTTTCACTTTAAATGTCTTTACCGTCCAAATTCTTTAGTTACAAATTATAGCACACAGCCTCAATTTCAAATAAAACCCCTCACCATTTCAAAAAAACGTTGATGTCGTGAACTTTTAATTTGAAACATCACCATGTTCATTTTCTAGCTATCACTGGTTAGCTTTTCTACTCTGTTTCTTGATCAATGCGTTTATCATTGCTCTGATAACCCATTTACATTTACTTATTTTTTTTTTTTTTTTTAATTAACAGATTATATATGTTATTTTTATGAATAAAAAAAAATATGTAATTGAATTTCCAAAATACGCAAAATAAAAACTTATATTTTAAACTTCAAATATTTTAAAATAAATGTCTATTTTACTAAGCCATGTATTAAAAAATATTCAAACTCCTATAAGACTCTAATCCTAGTTATAATAAAGCATTTTATAGGGCACCGCAAATCCAAGACCGACACTGAGTGTGACATGTGAATGTGTTTTTTCATCCATGCAACATATTCCTATTATATAAAAACTTTGCTTAAGACATCTATATTTACAAATTTACAATCAAGCCGGTTTATGCTAATTTAGCAATGATTAATACATAAATAGATGCATTATATTATAATATAAATAACATTATTGAAAACTTTTCGGACAAATAAAGTAGAAAATCAATTTTCATTTTAAAATACTATTGCTTAATGCTTTTTTACTTATTAAAAAATTATTTTATTTAGCAATAAAAAGATTTGCAACTAAAAACCCTGTAGGTCATATTTGTTTAATATTATAGCGGAGTTTAAAGGTTTAAGAGCAACATGAGTTAATTGTGACATTGTAATCTACTTATTAATTTATATTATAATTATTATATTCAACTCATTTAAATATTCAACAATACTTTTAAGGTTTAGTTAAATTCGTTGAGCTTATTACTTTCGGTTTATATTTACATAATATGAAAATATCTCTATTACCTAATACCTTTAACTTTTAGGATTTATACAGTATACTTATGTCCCTATTTTTTTAATCAAATAATTATGGACTAATGATTCTTTCCATTAAATATCACAAAATTGACCGTGGTTTACTGTTGTCAATTTATACCTACTACTACTACTACAACCTATCTACGTACGACGTACCTATTCATAATAATTAATAATACCTACATAATATGTATGTTTGTTTGGATTATGCGCATTCGACGAGCATATTTATTTTGATAGGTACTAGGTATGTGTGTTTTCATACTCACACGATATATGTGTTTGTGTTGCATTCCGTATACATTATATTATATTGGGTTTGGATATAATTATATTAGTAGGTACCTATAGCCGGGCTATAGCACAGAACAGAGTAAATTTAATCTAATCTGTACGTAAGCCATGAATAATATATAAGTAGAGTCATTGTTCCCTATATAGTTGAAAATACAGGTTTAATACAACTAGAATTTGTATTTTAATAAAAACAGGAACCGGAAGTACGTTTACGGTTAATAGTTTTAAACATGTCAATTATTATTTGGAGTTAGGTAGGTATTCTGACACTGTAATACAATTATTTATAGTTCGATACCTACGACCTACCTACTATACAATCTACGCATAAATCAATCATTTTAGACTGCAGTGTTCCATGTGAGGTCAACAAATGAACACCAACATTTTGCTAATATTAAAATAGGTATCGTGGAGTGTTAAAATTAGATAGATATAAGGTAGGTAGGTAGTTTAAAATTGTACCTGATAATAACACGAAAAACAATTTAAAATAAATTTAAGTAATTATCTTGTTTTATTATTTTTTAAATGTAAAATTTGATCTTAAAGTAAGTAGGTATCTATATTTGAACTGAAGTTATACATGCATGCAATTACAAACTTTTATTTTATATATTTTAATATTATTTGTAAATATATTAAAATAACGTATAGAAAAAAATAAAACTATGGTTTTTATAACTGATATAAATGTTAGCTGGTATAACTTATAGGTTATTTTGTATTTTTTTAGTTAAATAAGCAAGCGATTAAACGGTTTTTGTTTTAAGTAGGACTTAGGTATATATAATATAACACAATTGTCTATGTACTTGATATTAAATATATTTTTAAAAAACTTAAATATTCCAATGAATGACTAAAATTAAAAAAAAAGAAAACTTTTAATTATATATATATATTATAATAAAATTATATATTACACTTAGAAATTATTAGAGTTTACTATACCTATATAGGAATTAGTTATAAGTGTTTTAAAACAATGAAGAAAGTATAAAGGTAGATAAAAAATATATATTTAGAATTCTTTTTTGAGGTCATTCGTTATTTAATAAGTTTGAAAAATTATTTCATAAAAAGTTTCATTAAGTATTTCAAAACTCATTACTTACACAATATTTTTTAATATGTGGTAAATATTGATAAGTTCAGGTGTATAAAAGAATGGTGTAGGGGTAAAAACATCTAAAATGTTTGTTTGAACTATCAAAATTTATTTACTATGACTAAAAAGTATGTAGGGTATCCTAAAATCAGATAGGTAATTTTACCCAATTTTAGACCCTGCTATTTGCTAATATACTTAGTTTAAGTATGTATGTGTATTAATATATTATAAAATGGAGTAAGAATTACTGTTATAGATGAGATTTTTAATGGTGGTATAACTCTAAAAAATTATATTTATCAGTAAAATATTACAGTACTTATATAGTAGGTAGTTAAGTATCCTACTAAGTATTCATATTACAATAAATATTTAATATTTTGAAATATAGATTGTATCTGTTAGATTATAGTTATTGGCATTGTTATTTATCATATAGTTTAAATAGTTATGTAAAGAATAGGTACTAATTTTAATTAAAAATTACTCTAATTTAATACTAACATATACTAGTCATACCTTTTATAACTTTACTCATTTTTACAGATGATTATATGTACATCATGTGGAATTCAGAAGGAAAAACACTGAATGAAAATAATAGTGGACAATGTAAAACAATATTTAAACAAACTTTTAAATTTACCAAAGGTATACCAGAACAAAAAATTTCTCCTGAAGGATTTTTAATACGAGACTGTGGTTGTGTCATGCGATTTTTACCTAATTTAGATAATAAATTAAGTAAATATTATGTACACTAAAAATATATCTACTGTTTATTTAAATAAAAATGTTTTATTTGTATATTAGATAAGAATAAGTTACAGCTCACAACCATTAACAAGAACCAAAATCAGAAAAACACCAGCTATACTCACCATCGTAATAATTTAAATCAAACAAAAGTTATTTCAACAGAAATGTACAAATATATTTTGTTTTTAATCTAAATTAATAATTGTTAATGCATTTATATGGTTTTAATAATTATAATCTAAATATTAAAAAAAAAAAATATATGTAGAATGTAAAAACTCTGATATCTATAAAACTGTTGCAAGATAGTTAAATGTACATTAAAATAAATAATATTTTAGTTATAAATATAGAGTAATGAATTATGTTAATTTAATTTGTTTGTAATTAAAATTAGATATCATTTTCCATCAATATCCTCAAATTATTGAAACCCTTTATCCAATATATTCATAGAATTTTTTAATATTCAAAATTATATGCTACAAACAATACAATTTAAGGATATTTTATCATTGATATTTAAATTTTAGGTGTAAAAATAGACAAACATTTATTATCTATTAAGTAGTAAGTGCTTACCATATAGTTATATATAAGTTGAAATTAATTTTAGGTATCAATCAACATTTTGGATGGAACCAAGAATAATCCCTATTAAGTATACCACTGAACTAAATTTCAACTTAGAATCACCTATTAGAAGATTTACAGAAACAATTGATTTACAGGTAATATAAATTGTTGTTTTGTAACTTGATATATTATAAAGGATGGTATTACGCAAGGTCATTTATTTTGAGTTTTTATTATTTTTTCTTGTTTTAAAAGAATATTTACAATTTTTACATATATACTATTATACTAAATACAATAAGTTGTTTGTGTATAAAAAAAGATAAATTAACAGGATAATTTGCTTAAAGCTAATGGATGTCCATTGACACTATTTAAAATTTAAATAAATTTATACATTTTTATAAATACTAAATATATCTAATTTTTATTTTAGATGAAATTAGTTCCTTGTCCATATATTCAGCAAATCGGGACTACAAAACGTTTTAAAACATCAATTGAAACAAAAATACAATCAGAGTATACACTACCATTAGATATTACTAATTAACATAATTGGATATTTAATCTTAAATTATCAATAGTTAACATAGTAGCACAACTATTTATACATAATTCATAAATTAAAAAATATATTAAACATTTTTTTAACACTTAATAAACTAAAACAGTTAATACAATATGATATATATATAAATATATATATATTATTAAGTATAAACAAAATATTATATTAATAATTAAATAATACAATTATACTTATTGTGTATTCATTTTTGACTTGGTAATTTCTTTTCCTCCAGTTTCACATGGTATACTTGGTATTTGCCATCCTTGTATAGATATTTCCTAGAAAAATTAATTTAAAATAAAATTATCAATAATTCAATGAAATAAATAAAAGATTTAATATAGTTTATAAAATACGTTTAACTTAAAATGAATTAATTAAATAGAAAATATGTAAATTTTTTTATTAGATCATCCAATTTTATCAACTAAAAAAAAAAAAAAAAAAAAAAAATAATATTTCAATTTAAAATAGTTTTACATTGTTTCTGTATTTTGTAACAATCATAATATAAGTAATTCTTAAAGAATAAATTCATTATAGTGTTGTTAATTTGTTATTATTGGAAAAATCTTATCATATATTCACACCTGAATTTCATCTAACTGTGGATGTATGTTTATTGTAGATTCTAAACTATTTCCGGCAATTTCATTATTTTCTTGTGGCATATTAAAACAAGCATCTAATGAATGCAACGATACTGTTTCGGCAGAATGGATGTCCCAAGAATCAACATCTGTACATGAAGAACTCGTACGAGTTCTTTCTGCAGGTTGAATAACCTAATACAATATTATTATATATGCATATTTTTTGTATTGATCATTTGTTTATACTAATTATGAGTACTTCATAAATTAGTTTTAAAGGTAATAATTTATATAAACAAGAGGAACTAACTTGTGGTGTCATAGTCCATGGGGACAAACTGGAACATACAGGGTCATAATCATCAATACTAACAGCAATGTTTTTATTTGTTTCATCACAATCATCAATAGTATATACTTCTTTTAATACTGCAAACTGGTCCATAAAATTATTCTATGAAAAAAGATTATGTCGGATGTTATGAAATAATTAATTTAGTAATTAATAAATAGATAAGTACCTTAAAATTAGACATTTCGTTTTTAAGTTTTAACGCATCATCAACAATCATTATATTTCTTCTTTTTAAATCTGCTAACAATGCCAACTGTTCAAACATTTGATGCATTCCCTAAATTGATTTATAACATAGAAAATTAAAATTTGGGAATAATTATAATTTACAATTTACAATTTATTAATAATAAAAATAAATTTTTGTTTACTTCACATATAATTAATGCAGAGTCCCAAGTATCAGATACTAATGTTCCATTCATGTACTGTTCAAATTCTTCAGTATTCATACTAAGAAGTTCTGCATTAATATTTTCAATAAATGACACAGCACAACACTGCAAGTATATATAAAAAAAAAACTTTCAGTAAATAAGTAAATATTAAAAATATATAATACTAATTTTATTAGAATAACTGATAAAGTATATTACATATTGATATCTTTATTCTTTAATACTAATACAATTTAATAAAGAAATATTATTCTAAAATGTAAAATATTAACAATCGATTACCAGGTTGGTAAAATAATATCCAGCTTCTCCAGACATCAGCCTAGAAGCATTACAAAATCTAGTTACATAATGCAAATTAGACTTAAGTCTAACAGGATTTGCTTTAAGAACAACAAATATGAGGACAGGCAAGAAATCATCAGCAGATGCAGGTCCTTTCATTCCATTGTTTCCACCTTGCAAAACTCCAAATATATGTCGACAGCATCTAACAACACATGCCAGTTTGTCTTGTGGTGCTGTAGCTGAATCCATATCTAATAATTCTAGAATTGCTTTATATACTAATTCAATAATTTGAGCATTAGTCTTATCAATATCACAGTCTAGATGTTTAGCATTCACCCAATTTAACTGACGAATCCTAAAATGAAAGTTTTTGTATAGTTATATACTTATTACATTTTTAATAAAAAAGCAATTTCAAATTGTTAAATTTTTACAAATATTTATGAATTAATGTGGGTCTAGTTATTTAGTAACTAATAAAATATAAGTTATGATGTTAGATGATTCAAAATATTATTTAATCCTCAGTGATATTTACTAACAAAATAATCATTTCTTTTAAAAATCAGATAAACATTAAAATCAATTAAATAAATTACTTTTGTTTAAATATTAACTAATGTAAAATTAACTTAATACAATAACATAGATATTTTTGTTACTAAATAGGTAGTTAATATAATTTTATTAGTTAGCGAAATACCGTTTCTGTATAGCTAAATCTTCCTCTTCATCAGCCAAAGTCATACAAAACAAAAACTTATATAATTTTATCATAGAGTATTTTTCTGTATAATCCAAAATTTTTTCTTTCTTTTCTTGACTCAATTCTGGAAATGAAAATTTTCAAAAATGTTTTACGTTAATTAATAATTATTGGTATTTAAACATTTAATTTTAGAATAGTACATTAGATGGGTATGATAGAATTTTAAGCAATATATACCTCCTGACCTAAGTACATTTCCTTTATTTTTGGTATACCTCAATAAGACTTCAATAAAAAAAAAATAAGACTGATTATGTTTAGAAAATTAATTAGAAATAAATTTACAGGACGATCAATTCCGTGTAATAAAAGAATTTTGCTTCACGTTTACAATTGGCATAAAGCATGTGAAAGACAGATAAAAATACAATCAAGAAAGAGGCCAAGCAATATGATACTCATTAAAGTATAAAGATAATATAATGTAGAGATTTTTATGGATCTTTTTAATAATTTCATAAACAAGTCGTCTAATTTATTCTGAATACCTATAAACATTGAGCCTACCTAAAATATAATAAAAAAAGACAATAATTTTATACAATACCCTCATAAGAATAATTATTATTCAGCATATCTAGAATGCTTTGATAGAAATGTTGAGTGAGTTCAGACTGAATATCAACAGGGCTTTGTAAATGTGACATCATCATCATTTGACAAAAATTGCGAATTTGTTTTTTTAATTCAGTACGCAACGATTTTTTTTCTGATAAAATTGATAAATATTCTTGATCTACTTGATCCAATTTCTTTGAAATAAGTGGATCATAATCTTTTTTAGATTTTTCAGATATTTCATCTAAAAATCAAATCAAATATAATTTATTATAAAAACTATATTCTTTATATTTAAGTATATATTTTACGGGGAAAGTCAAGTTAAGGTCAATGTATATTTTGCCCAGTGTTTTTGGACAGTACATTAAAAATACTATTTTTACCATACAGGGTTGTACTTTGACCAGTCCAAGTTACTTTGCTCGTACTAAATTGAGCATAGTAACTTAAGCTATAAATAAAACTTTCCATTTGAATACATTTTTTTTTTTTTTAATGATTTAAACAGTTAAGAAATAGAAGATATAATGAGGAGGATAGGTACTATGTTATAGTCAATTTAGTATGTATTATACTTTTGAAGTTATATACGCACTTTTATATTTATATTTTATAAATTAATTGGTATGAGAGTATAGAAGCAATGTTTGGATGTATTGCAAAAATTGAATTAAATGATGATTTTACATCATAATTGTACATCCAATATCAATAATTATTAATAAATTAAAAACTGAAGAAGATTTAGAAGCAGTTATAACATCTATGAATATTGGAAATCATTGGGAAGTTGATGAAACATTGATTGAAGAAAAAATAGATAATAGAATAAATAAAATAACTGCTGTAAAAACAGAGTCAGTCGTAAATTTAATAATTCAAGCAAATTGATTTACATTGCTCAGCTTAGACTGGGAAATTTTATACAGCCCAGGCAAAAGCATAATTTTGCCTACATTGCCCATTATAATCAGGCAGTACCATAATGCCTGGGCAATGTAAATATTGCCCAATTGTCTACTTTGCCCGTAACACATACACAACATATTTAAAAATTGAATTTTAATGAAAGTTGTTCATACAGGTTTTGTTTTTAAGAGATGTGAATAACTCACATATTTAATTCTAACATATAATTTCTGAGTTATTAAACTTTATAAGTTTTTGTAATAAATTTCTTAATATTTGTTTAAATGTAAAATATAAATATATAGGTACATAATATTTAATATTGTTTTTATTATACTTATCATACTATATGATCCAAATAAATTAATATTAACAAAAAAAAAAATTAATATATATTTCTCCATTGGAAATGTTTTATTTTTCTCTTTTTATTACTAGTCTAAAACATTGTTTCTGTAAGCACATTAAATTTTATGATTTATAAATTATGTCTCACTCATAAATAATTATAATAAAAATATATTAATTGCTATAATTTAAAAATAATTATAACCACCATATCTTCTCATCATATTATTTTAGACTTCGACTATTATTTAGAGAATTTAAAAGTTTAATAATTTAGAAATTACTTGTTAGAATTTTAATTTATACATAACATTTTCAAAAAAAAAAAATGATTTTAATAAGCAAACAAATATAATATTATTGAAACTAAATAAAATAAACATTTCTTTGTATACCTGAGTATTTAAATAAATTCATAAAAACAATTTAATTGCTCTTTTAAAACTTTTGAATAAGTGAATATTTGATAAAAACAATATATTTTATGTAAATAATTGTATTTAATCAACTTTTTTTACAAACCTTTGGACTTAATAGTATTAAACATTTTCAAGTATGACAATTTAGATTTTTTTTCAGTTAAACCAACTTTTTTTAAATCTTGTTTTGTACTAGTCTTGTTAATTGGTACCTTTCTGAAAAATGTATTTAAGAGAAACAAATTAAAATCAGTTAATTAGATTTCCATTGTCACAGAGATAGTTAAAGACCGGATTCCCGTGCAATTGCATATTTTTATGACATGTCCTAAATTCTATAAAAATAAGCTACAAATTCAAATCAAGAGATGTAGATTAATTTAAAGAAAGTTTTAAGTTTAACGTTTTCGGTTTTTTTTTTTATAAAAATGCACTAAATTTCCTTTTGTACAATTATTGTTGTTGTATAATCTATATTATATTACCATCTATCTACTTTATCACTGCTATGTTATGTTGTTATATAAAGTATTGTACTTTTATATCTAATAATATAATTATATATAATTCATTGATATAATACGACGTAATTAAGATAATGACTAAAGATACTATGATAGTTGATAAATTATTGATACATATACACGTACAGTATTATAGTCTATTTGCAGCAGCTATAGTCAACTCGTGTTTTATACTGTTATGGACCATGTAATATATTTTAAAACATATATATTGTACGGTATGGTGGCATATGTTCTGATTATTTAATAAGACAAGACAATGTAACTAATGTGAAGTCAGGGTAGATACTATGACCATTGTATTATTTTAATTAAGATAATTTAGGTATGATCACATGTTGCTCATTTCTTAGAAAATTTGAAACTATAAGAGTGCAAGAGTCAACAAGAATAATAATCAAATGTGAGATGCCTTGTGTCATTAGAAGTCACCATCACCACAATCAATTCTTTGTCAATCAACCATTTATAAGGGAGACTGGGGCAAGAGCTCAGCAGACAATTAGGGAATCCAAGATGCTCAGAGATCGGCCATAACACCACTCACCAACATCTTGTACTTGCAATAATGTATTTTTATATTTAAGTTTAAATTAAATAAAAATTTACTTTATATTTAATATATCAAGTATTTTCATTCCTGTGTTTATATATTAATTGGCGTTGTCATCAGAACGCAACAATACAACAATTTTATAATTGATACTTATTACTTGATATAATTTAATTTAAAATGCTGAAAATTGGACAAAATCTTATGGAAAAAAATTTAGAAACGTAAATGATTATAAATTTAAATCAAATATTGTAAAGTCAGTTATATATGCAAACCTATTTTCAGTTAATTATTATTTAATTTAAATTAAATTAATTTTTTTTTAATTTTATATTTTAATATAATTAATACTTAAAAATTAATGTCAACTAATAAATAATAATATTATAAAAAAATAAATATTAAAAATAAAATTTGAAGTACCTATAATGAAAATTTTGTTTTTGCACAATTTTGCACATTTTTTAGGTGTTAGCTGCACCAAAATCCGGTCTTTAGTTATAATGAATTTCTGTAGAGATGTGCATTAGTCTTTTAATATCAATATAGAAACATTCTCAGAACCTTTGTGTCCTTTAGTAATTACTGAATAATCCAGACTGACATTTATTACAGCAATATAATATTAAATTATTAAGATTTTAAAATACAAATATAAATGTAAGAATAACATTTATCTATGCTATACAATTTTAAAATTGATATAATTATTGCCTATCTTAAGTTTAACTAATTACTATTATCTGTGCTATAAAATTATAAAATATTTTATAATTTTTACGAATTAACTACATACTTAGGAGAAGCATTCATTCGCCTATGTTTTTGTATGTCTTTATAACATTTTGAACAAAATCCATCCCATTGTGGATTACCGTAATAATCACATCCATTTGATTTTTTACATTTTAATTCAGCTTCTCCAATGCGAAAGTTGCCTTTTTTAAATGACATCATTTTGTTGATAATCAAACCTGAAAAAAATGTTATTTATTTAAAACAAAATATAATTTTAATATTATAAAACAAAACTATGTTTTTATTTAAACTATTTTTATATTGATATATTCAGTATCATAAGGAAATATCATAATATAAAATTTAAAAACAGTGATTAAATATTAACTGTCTATTCAAATAAAAATCAATTAAAGATATATTTTTTAGTTTCAACACAAATTTATTTGAATTTCAATAGTATTAATTTAAAAAAAGTAATCTACTTACTATTACTTGGTAGTTAATATACTATTTTTGATAGAGGTAGTTAATAGTTATAAAACTTAAACAACCACAAACGTGCAATTTTAGACTGAATCACTGTTAACTGAGCAGTCAACAGTGAGCACACTAATCAGTGATCAGTGATCACCAATATAATAAATTGCTGAAATTGAATTAGTTAAAAAAAAAGATTCAACTAAATGTGATTTGATATCACAGGTTATCACAATAACATTATTGTTATGTAAAATAAATAAACATATTGTACATATTTATTTATTTATTCCGTGATATTTATGACTACTACGACAAAGGTAGCTATATCCCACGACCCAATTTTAATTTCTATTCATGATCACAATCACGGTCCACGACTATAAATTATTTAGTTTTACAATCAATTTAAATAACAATATATAATAATCTAATTTATTGAATATTTGTATCTACTTGAAAGTTGATGGTCTGTTGTGCACCAATGGTCTTATCAATTATTAAGGTGACGTCTTTACTGCTTCTTCTTCTTTTTTTTTATCGTAGTTGTGCTTTTATCGAAGATTATTATCACGGACTAAAAATCCGTGTTATCTATCAAAGCACAACACATTACACAATTAATGACAGTAGAATATGTATAGAGTATAGATACTATAGACTATTATTTTATGCTAAAACTGTTATAACTTATAGTGTTAATATCAAGTAATAAGTGCAACAATTAATGTTTAAGTATTATTGTGTAAATGTGTTATTAATTATATAATTGACTAGTGTAATTCTTTATTCATAGAGATATTTTTCATTTAGGTATAAATGAAAAATTATATGTTATTACTGATAATTACTGATTAGTTTATTATTTCCGTAATACGCAATATAATTATAAATTATTATATTATATCTTAATATTATCCAATATCAGTATTAGTTCAGTATACATTTATTAAAATTATCTCTCGAATTTAGACGCTAGAGAGTAAGTATCAAATTTAATTTGGTGTTTTAGAAATCATCAAGGTAATTTTTGCTTTATTATTTATTTAAATATTTTAACTACTTTCCAAATCATAATTTAGAGATTTAGCCACTGTATATTTTTAGGTTTATTTTTTTTAGTTCAAGTTATAGTATTAACTAATATGAATTTTAAATTATTATATTTATAAATTGTAATTTGTATACTATGGCTATTTTATTCTTGATTCCTATCATGCTGATAATATAATTTATTATTTAATCATTATCATATTTTGATGAAAAAAATCTAAAGCTATACTTTTTAAATATAACTTGGCCTCTGTGATATATCTTATAAATACAATTAATAACAGATATTGCGTTAATTATTTTAAAAATTCTATTTTATATTTTTAATTAAATAATATGAAGTATTATAATTTTTAACATTATATAGGGTTTAAATTAATATAATAATTGTAATTATAAATAAATATGTCAATTTGATTAATTACAGGTTATAAGTACAAACAGATAAAACTATTTTAATGGATCCATCAGTCTTAACAACATTAAAAATTTTATTAATTGGTCAAAGTGGAGTAGGAAAATCATGGTAAGCTATACCCAATAAAAATTGTAGAAACAATTTAAATTATTTCATATTATAGATAATAACTTGTATTTTATAATTTACTTATACACATATGTATATATATATTTGTTATGTTATTGAATTCAAAATAATATTATATTAACTAAAAGAAGAAAACAAATATATTTTGATTTTAAGTACAGTTGTACTTAAATAAAATATTGAAAATACAATTAATATTTACAAAATATGTTCATCACAAAAAAAGAAAAAATGAAATTTTTATTGAAGAAAATAAATCTTAATAATCTTATAAATTTTTTAGTCTCTGAATTTATATAAATTCCAAAGTTTCATTGTTTAAAGTTTATCAAATTAATATAAAAATAAAAGATAAAACTGTTGTCATTCACTTAGATTTTATTTAAAAATCAGAATTTGCTCAAATATACCTTTAGTTAATTAAGTTTATTCAATTAAGAGTGTCTTAGCTATGTTTAAAAGTGTTTTAGCTTAAATTTAATATTTTATTAATAATAAAATTGTTACTTTTACATTTTATTTTTCATCATAAACATATTGTAAATATTCATTAATACAGTATTAAGTAGTACAAAAATTGTTTGTGCTACTATTATATGATATATTGTAAAAACCTTTTATTTTATACCTTCTACTACTTATTTTTATATTTCATTTATTTTGAGTTGAATATTTTAAAATATATTTTAATATAATTTCTTTTTTAAGAGCCATAATAATAATTTATATTATTTTAGTTTTGTTTTGTTTATTTTATTTATTGAAAATTTAATATTTAACATAATATTAACGTAAAATATCTATTTTTTTAAGTTTGCTATGCAGATTTACAGATGACACATTTAATGAGGACAATGCAGTTACTATTGGTGTAGATTTTAAAATGAGAAAAATAACTGTTGATAATAATAATATTAAACTAGCCTTATGGGTAAGTAATCAAATATTATACTTTGAGAGCAAATTGATTCATGTAGAATGATTTTTTAGGATACAGCAGGACAAGAAAGGTTTCGTACACTTACTCCAAATTATTACCGTGATGGTCAAGGTGCAGTACTTGTTTATGATGTTTCAAACCGAGATTCATTTACATGCTTAGAAACATGGATTAATGAACTTAATAGATACTCTACCAAAACCAATATTATTAAAATGGTTGTTGGTAACAAAATTGATCGGGCAAGTATATAATATGTATATAAAATACTATAGGTTTTTGAGTGTAAACTTTTATTTTATTTAGGTACTAAATTATAACAAAAATACAGAATATTTATTTTTTTAAATTCAATCATAGTTTTTTTTTTTTCAGTAATATATTTGAGATTTAATAAACTACTATTTTTTATAAATAAATGTATCATAAACTTTTTAGTAAAATTATTAAAATTAATTTTTAATTTTAGGAAAGACAAGTTACTAGAGAAGAAGGAATTGCTTTTGCTCGTCGTCATCAAACATTATTTATTGAAACTAGTGCTAAAACAAAAGAAGGAGTTTATATGGCTTTTGAAGAATTAGTCAGAAAAGTAAGTGAATTATTTTATGAAGTATTTTGGTTTATTAGTCTCTTGTCCATGTTAAAATTTATTTTCATGGCAAAAAAAACTTAAATCTCTTTATATTTTTATAGTATAGTTAATATTTTATCTTTAAAATCACTTTCTATTTAATAATTGGTCTACATAATATATATTAATTATACAGTTCTTAATTTTTACACAATCTAAGTCATCTAAAAAACAAATATTACATATTGCTAGACTTAAAATATGTATTTAAATAATTAATGGATTAAAATTATTTTGAAAATAGATAATAAATACACCAAGCTTATGGGAAAAGCTTGAAGATGCCAATGTTGTTCGGTGCAATGATGATCATTCAGTATCGGAGGAAAAATATTGTTATTGTTAACTATTTAATCATTTAAATATTTATGGAAGGTTATATTGTATTAATACATAAGTATTCTAATACTTTATAGGTATATGATTTATTATTTGTAACATAAAAGAAATATGCTACATATGAGTCAGTACTCAGTTTACATATACATGTAATTAGAACTTATTTTATTATGTATTATTGCACTTAAAAATAATTTTTAAGTTATATTTTTGGTTGTAAACATTCATAAAGTTATTAAAATAATATGAAATATTAATTTTTTTAAATAATGTATTATTTTATTTAATTAATATTAATCTTTTCCATTGGAATTTATTTTACAGTGATGATCTTAGTTTCCCTTGAATTTATAAATTATTTATTGATTAAGTTGATAAATTATTCTTTGTTATTATTATTAATATTAAAATAATATGACTAATTAATTTATGGCTTGACCACATAATGAGGAAATTTGCAAAACCATTTGATTTTTAGTATAAGTGTTAGCCTATTGGGAATATAATAGTAGAGTAACTTTTTAAACCATTACTGATTGTTTGGTATTATTTTATGATCTTGAATGATAGTCTTTTCAAGAATACTTTTACTTACTAGTTATATTTGAATTTTTTTCATTTAACAGCCTATTAAGGACGGTCTAGAGCAGCATTTCTCAAACTTTTTCTCTCCCAGACCCCTTCGAAATAATAAAAATGATTTTGGACCCCCTTAATAAAAATAAAAACAATAATATATAATGTAATATAGTATTTTCAATTTATGTTCCGAGAACCCTCTCCGATACATATGCTGATCACAGTTTGGTAAACACTAAAGAGCTAAAAACTGTATCACCTGCAATAAAAATCAGTTGGAGCTATGTATCACTGTATTATGTTTATATATTTGTAATTTTATTTTTATCTAAGTCATCAAAACCATTAATAATATTTGGTATTTAATTTGGCATTGTAATAATATTTTTGTAATAATTTAAGTATGTAATATGTTTTTGTCAATGCAATTATCCTTTTTTAATATCCACATTTCTTGTTAATAAAAATTGTGTTATTATATGCTTTTATTTAATCATACTATAAACCTTGAACACACTTTATACCTAGGAATTATAAAGCAAATTAGTACATCTCATTTAAATTTAAAAGTGAGTATCAAGTGGATCACTGTAACAGATATGTTTAATTGAATTCAATGAAATATTAAAGTATAAGAAAAATGATTTTGAGCAGAATCTATTTATTAACTTATATTACTAAGTACTTATATTAAATTATTGGTTTTTGATATGAAAGTAATTTATTTTACTATAAATAATATTAATACAGTTGGTTGAATTAATTCTTGCCAAAATTATTACATTTGAAATTGCCATTGTATGCATAAAATAAGTCCCCCTGTGACAAATATTTTAAAATGTATGTAAAAAAATACTAGAAAAATCAATCATAACATTAAAAAATGAGTTAAAAAAGTTTAAAAATGGATTATTTATTTATCATTTAAAATACTATGTATTTAGATTGATTATAGAATAGACTAATTCTATAATGAATGGCTTTACCTAAACATTTTTAATAATAAAAATATTAAAACCTTAAATACAGTTAATTTTTATCAATTCATGTTAGTTATTATACTAACCTAATTTATTTTTATACTATTTATAGCCATCCCCTTGCCATAGTGTTAATACTGTGATAATAAATTGTTCAACTTGATTATTTACACAATTTACTAATAAAACATTTATGAAGTTTATGTATAAACATTAAACATAGTTACTTGATGTTTGTGCTATACAGCTTAAAACGATTTATGGCTAAATATATTGAATATGTTTTCCAAAAAATAAATTATATAGCAAAAAAATATTAAAACTCCTATTATATATTTTACAGGTTGAACTATTGAAGTAGGAATCGATGCAAAAGATGTGTGATTCATAATAATAACTATAATTTTTATTATTAAAGTTTATTATTATATTTAATTAAAAATATGATAAAATATGTAATTATAAATTATTGAATACCTAATATCTGCATTACAGCTTACATTAAAAATCTTTGTAAGTACTATTACAAATAAAGTGTATATAATTAAATTAATTAATGATAATAATAAATTGTTATAAATAATTCGCATATAGTATTACCCGGCGAAGAGTATAGGCAAAATAGGTACATTTCTGTAGTGTTCCGTGTTCTTGGTATATAACAGGTGTTTGAGTGTTTCCAAACAATTTTACATAATATGCTCTACAACATTTTGATGGCACTTCGCAACATTTTACAAATTTTTTTTTTTTTATCATTTTTTAATTTTTACATTAAATTACAAAATTAGATTACTACAATTTATTTTTACGTTTTAGATTCCGAGCAGAGTGATGAATGTAATAATTTTACAATTATATAGTTTTTTTGTGTGTGTGTACAAAAAAATTATACGATAAATATTAAGTTGAAAGATAGTTTTAGTTGGAAAATTGAATACAGTTTGTACTTTAAAGAGGTCAAAATGAAAAATTCCCAGTGTTTTATAATTTATTTTTAATACATATAATCTATAAATAAATTTTAAAATAAGTATGTTTGAGGGTTTACATTTATGTTGACCTGGTTGATATGATACAATATAATCACCCAGTGACAACACTTAGTAGCTAAAGAATATTATTTTTTTATATAGGTATAGTTGGGAAAAACAAACAATACAAATATTTGAATCATCATAAGTTAAAAAAAAATGTAATATATTGGAAGATTAAAATATTTTTTCCTCAAATTATTTCATAGAAGTTAACATTTATTTGAAGTTTCTCTTGTTGTACATTTAACCACAATTCATAGTAATCACATTAGTTGGGTTAAGAACAAAAATAATTCAATAATAATATTATTATTGCATGAGGTATGAACACAATTTAATAATATTGTCTTGAAATTGTGATTATAACTACAAAAACGGCAGGTTATTTTTAGATCAATAACATATTGCAATAATAACAAATAATAATATAATTATTATTTTGTCTTGTTTATACTTATATACCTATTACCACATCTCATTGTTCTGTGATAGTGTGCTTTACAGAAAGTCCATAGACTATAATGTTCTATTACTTTATACTTACTCATTCTGCTGCTGTAATTTAATAATTAAATCTTAGAAAAAAAAATGTTCAATAAACGACAGTTGACATCGTTCAATTGAATAATAATTGATTAATTGTTTCAAATAGAGTAGAAAATAATAGAAAACTAACATTTAAATAATTATTCTTTCACTTATTTTCCAATTTTTGTTTATTGAATAGTCATTTAATCAGTCGTTGGTTAAAGTTAATTGTTCAACAAATATAAAATATATGTAAGTGATTTTACATGTAGTTACTTTTAAACTACACAATATAACACCTTTTATAAATGAACTTTTATGTAACTACTTAATATTATTTTACAATATTGGCACCTAAACTAACCTGCAATTTGTTTTTATCTAAATATTCTTAACCACAAAATGAATTTTAAGACTCATGTAAAATCAAACAATTAGGTACACTGTATACAATAAAAATATATTAAACTGGAGGAGGGCTCAGGTTTTTAATCATAGTAAATAAATTATTTTGCCCACTATAGATTTTTTTCCTAATCATTCCACTGGTATCAAATGATTGTAATGTAATTTTCTATTTGCGATCAATTTTTTAAAATATTTCTGGTTTTTTAATCTATTAATAGACAGAGACATTTTGAATAGTTTTAGTTTTTTTATACACAAATCTACAATTTTTATCAATAAAAAACTATTCACTAAGTAATAAAAATTTTTAAAAATGTATTAAAAGATCCCATGTAAGTTTATCTTATGTTTGTATAAAAATATTAAAAATAGATACATTTTTTTTTTTATATGGACTTAAAGATTTTGACAAAATTCTTCAAAATCATAAAAAACTGAAAACATTTTTGAAAGGACTCATTAAAAATTTTCATTTTATATCTAAGTTTTTAAAATTTAGTATAAGATTCTTCGTAAGTGTTTCATACTGAAACTATATAATTTAAAAAATATATAAAGACAATTATTTTCATAGATATTTTAAATTCAAACTTGAATAAAATTATACTTTTATATTGAAATTTATATAAAAAAAAAAAATCAAAAGTTTTATTGTTCATAAATAGCTCAAAAAGACTAAATATTTTAAAAATTATAATTCGATTCAGGTAGGTTTAAAAAAACTTAGTTTTTATTAAATCCAATCAAAAAAATTAAAAACTAAATTATAAGGGAAAGACTAACAGCACTAAGGTCATATTTAGGATACATTGACTCCTAGGCTAGCCTCTAGTGCAGGTTCTACCATGGGTACAGGAATATATTCAATATCATTTTTTTTATAAATATTTAACAAAAAAATAATTACCGAAATAAATGTCCTAGAGGTTAATTGGTTATGTCTATTCTTAATGGTGGTGAATTTTTTTGTAATATTTTCATAACTATCTTATCTTAAAATATCACTTTTAATGTCATCAGGGCTAAAATATTTTTCCACAGTAAAATATAATTTATGTAACATGATAAAAAAAATCAATTCAAATATTTAGGCTGTAGTAATGACATGCACTATGGACATAACAAATTCAATATTTATTAGAAATTAAATTTTGTTTATACAAATCACAATAAAAAACATTTTTCAGGAAATTTTCTAATATATTATTAGGCTGAACTAGTAAAAAAATCTTTGCTAATAACTTAGTATTTTTTATGAAACTGTTCAAGTATACTATGTATTCTGTAAATTCTGTATATAATTGTTACTAGTTTTTCACAATTTAAAATAACTATATAAAGACATTTTTGTTTTTTAACAATTATTATAATTGAGCAAAAGGATTTTAATAAAACATACAATTTTTCATCCAACAAAACACGGTATAATTTATTTAACATACATCTATATTAAAAAGGTTTAAATTTTCTGCTCTGTTTTAATAATTCAATTTTTGATTTGTCATTGTCAAACTTGTTGCGTAACTCCATTAATTCTAAAATAATAATATATTTATTAATAATTTATATATTTGTATTGCAAACTATGATTTCCGTGATAAATAATACTGAAAGTTTAGACTTTTTAAAAAAAAAAATAAATAAATAATAACATAATAAAAAAGATTATATGTAC